TTTTGCACCTCTTTCTTGTGGGTTTTAAACAAACGCGCAGTGAAATGGGAGGAACTAGAGTTTATTTTGCCATAAGGTAGTGTGATTATGCATGACACGAAGTATTTGCTAGTCTAGTACTGGAGAAATTAGCATTTGGATGCGCATAGTGCGGCTTTAAAGGTTTTTAATTTAGGATGAAATGAGTCTAAAAATTCGAAGCAGGTTGCTCCGGTTATTTGCAGTTCCATCTATTTCACGTGGTAAAAAAAATTGCGTGATATAAATAGAGACACGTTTATGTGATTATACTATATATTGCGTTAATTATAATAAAATCTTGTGTAGTTAGTTTCTTGATGGTAGATTGTGTAGATTAATTAGAAGATTTGAACTGACAGAATAACACTCATTGCCCTGCATGTGCATAGTTGTGTCTTATCGTCAACAGATGGCACCAGCTGTAGAATATCTGTTGAATGCCTACCCAGAGTATGTGCTTGTGGACCATCTTCCATTGGACGATGTCGATGATAAGGCAAGTTCAGTGATGTTATCATTAATTTACGTTAGCTACATGGCAATTAATTTTTGTATTGGGGCTGCATTAAAATTACTACTATGTATTGTTTACTGTAGAATTTCTGGTGAAGATATTATATTATATTATAAAATTAGCAAAGATTTTGTATGGAAATGAGGGATATATATACCTCATCTGCATGCAAATTATTTTAATAATTACCGTGTGATAGAAGTGCAGAGATGCCAACCACTACGATTTATCCGTATTTTCTACGAATTTCTATTCCTTTTGCACCACTACGACCAGTTTGTATCAAACTACGAATTTCACTGTGATAGAAAAAAAAATTTTATGTCATTTTTTGTCAATTTATTGTCATTTTTGACCCTCAGAATGCAAGAAATTGCATCTCAGAATCAAAAATTTTCCGGGGGGCATGCCGGACCCCTCTAGCAAACTCGGGTCACTACGTGACCCTCGAACTACTTATTTGATGGCCAGAAACTACAGATTGCTTCAAATATGTGTTGGCATCTCCTGGCAGTGCATATAAATAATGGAGTGGTTAATTGTAATTTGTATTAAATAAATGTCTATAACATTAAGTCATTACGCCAGAGACATGTATCTTATCATGCTGAGGGAACTATAATTAAAGCACATTCTAGTTGTTTGTGTAAATTTCCAATGCGCTTCATATTTAATTTCCAATTAAAATTCAGTTCTTAGTTTATTGATTGAACCTTCCCTTTGTAGGGCTTAGTGCTAATTATTGTTTGGTGTCGCAGAACCCCAGCTTACAAAATATTCATTATTTACAAGCAGATGTTTGGACACGGCCAATAATTAATCAGTCATGCTCTGTGATCAGGCTTATATCACATGGGATTATACGTAATAAAACACAGATGGAGTATAGATAGTTGTGTGTCACTCGATCAATGCAGAACGTTAATGGGTGCATGTCAGATGATACCTTTGGTAGATGAAATGAAGTTAAAAAAGGAGGGGACAGGTTTGTGCGTGAAATGCTGGTGGAAATAATTTGTTTACTCACGAATACCCGTTAGCGCTCTGCTTCATACTATGAATCATATTCCTCCTTGACTTTCCTGCTTTTACAATAATTTTTCTTGCTCTGATTTCTGTTTGAATTTATTGCTCTGATTAATTCTCTGATTTATGTGCAAACGTATCCTGTACCATCATCCCTGTTGAACCCCCAGCTCCATCTTGGTCTATCGGTCAGGTAACTCGATAGCTGTCCGCGCATATAATCCATTCGGTTGGTCAATTCTATCACAGTATTTGAAGCGACCGAGCTGTTCTCATGTACAGGGGGGTCACAAGCGTCGTTGGCGGCACTGCTCTGCCACGGTTCGTTCGATGGGGAAAGCGTGTTCAGCTCTGCCGTGCGTGTCGCGCGGGCCGACCGCCCGGAGCTAGACCAACGTTTAACGAAAATCACATCACGTGTATGCTCTCTCTCACCCTCTGAATCTTCGTTGCTGATTAACTTCCACCCTTCCTCCTCCTTCTGCTTCTCCTCC